TCTATCCAGGTGAGGGTGGGGAAGTCTCTATCAGGCAGCTACCTGGTGGATAACGGTACACCACAGGGGAGCGTAATTAGTCCTCTGTTGTTCTCAATCATGATCAATTATGTTTACTCTCAGGTACAGCCGGATATTGGGAGGTCGTTATTTGCAGATGATGGGGCCTTATGGAAGAGGGGAAGAAATGTGCCATACATAGTCAGGAAGGTACAGGAAGCAATTGATGAGGTAGAGTGCTGGGCATTAATGTGGGGATTCAGGTTCTCTGTAGAGAAAACTCAGTGTTCTTTACAGGAGTAAAGTGGGAGATGTGGTATGCTTGAGGTTATATAGGAGAAACTTGGAGAGGGTGGGGGCCTTCAGGTTCCTTGGGGTATACTTTGACACTAGACTGACCTGGGCAGAACACATTGAGAGAGTGGTGGGAAAGTGTAAGAAGCTGCAAAATGTGATGCCCTTCTGACGGGGAAAAAGTGGTGGGCTGGGCGTTCCTCATTGAGGACCATGTACAGTGGGGGAAAAAAGTATTTAGTCAGCCACCAATTGTGCAAGTTCTCCCACTTAAAAAGATGAGAGAGGCCTGTAATTTTCATCATAGGTACACGTCAACTATGACAGACAAAATGAGAAAAGAAAATCCAGAAAATCACATTGTAGGATTTTTAATGAATTTATTTGCAAATTATGGTGGAAAATAAGTATTTGGTCAATAACAAAAGTTTCTCAATAGTTTGTTATATACCCTTTGTTGGCAATGACACAGGTCAAACGTTTTCTGTAAGTCTTCACAAGGTTTTCACACACTGTTGCTGGTATTTTGGCCCATTCCTCCATGCAGATCTCCTCTAGAGCAGTGATGTTTTGGGGCTGTCGCTGGGCAACACAGACTTTCAACTCCCTCCAAAAAATGTCTATGGGGTTGAGATCTGGAGACTGGCTAGGCCACTCCAGGACCTTGAAATGCTTCTTACGAAGCCACTCCTTCGTTGCCCGGGCGGTGTGTTTGGGATCATTGTCATGCTGAAAGACCCAGCCACGTTTCATCTTCAATGCCCTTGCTGATGGAAGGAGGTTTTCACTCAAAATCTCACGATACATGGCCCCATTCATTCTTTCCTTTACACGGATCAGTCGTCCTGGTCCCTTTGCAGAAAAACAGCCCCAAAGCATGATGTTTCCACCCCCATGCTTCACAGTAGGTATGGTGTTCTTTGGATGCAACTCAGCATTCTTTGTCCTCCAAACACGACGAGTTGAGTTTTTACCAAAAAGTTATATTTTGGTTTCATCTGACCATATGACATTCTCCCAATCCTCTTCTGGATCATCCAAATGCACTCTAGCAAACTTCAGACGGACCTGGACATGTACTGGCTTAAGCAGGGGGACACGTCTGGCACTGCAGGATTTGAGTCCCTGGCGGCGTAGTGTGTTACTGATGGTAGGCTTTGTTACTTTGGTCCCAGCTCTCTGCAGGTCATTCACTAGGTCCCCCCGTGTGGTTCTGGGATTTTTGCTCACCGTTCTTGTGATCATTTTGACCCCACGGGGTGAGATCTTGCGTGGAGCCCCAGATCGAGGGAGATTATCAGTGGTCTTGTATGTCTTCCATTTCCTAATAATTGCTCCCACAGTTGATTTATTCAAACCAAGCTGCTTACCTATTGCAGATTCAGTCTTCCCAGCCTGGTGCAGGTCTACAATTTTCTTTCTGGTGTCCTTTGACAGCTCTTTGGTCTTGGCCATAGTGGAGTTTGGAGTGTGACTGTTTGAGGTTGTGGACAGGTGTCTTTTATACTGATAACAAGTTCAAACAGGTGCCATTAATACAGGTAACGAGTGGAGGACAGAGGAGCCTCTTAAAGAAGAAGTTACAGGTCTGTGAGAGACAGAAATCTTGCTTGTTTGTAGGTGACCAAATACTTATTTTCCACCATAATTTGCAAATAAATTCATTAAAAATCCTACAATGTGATTTTCTGGATTTTTTTTTCTCAATTTGGGAAAGGCCTCTCATCTTTTTAAGTGGGAGAACTTGCACAATTGGTGGCTGACTAAATACTTTTTTCCCCACTGTATGTTGCATTGACCCGATCTGTAATAGACTATGGCAGTATAGCATGTGGTTCGGCAGCCCGGACCTCACTGGAAAGGCTAGATGTCATACAGGGGCAAGGACTCAGAATATGTAGTGGGGCGTTTCGGACGTCCCCAGTGGCTGCATTACAGGTGGAGATGGGGGATATGAAATTGCAGATTAGGAGACAGCAGCTGGCAATGAATTATTGGGTCAACCTACAGTACAGGGACATGGGGTGTCTCATCCTGCGAAAGGGATTTTACAGGCATGCTGGGAACATGACCGAAGACAGAACACAAGCTTTGGGTGGGTGGGGAATACCCAGGCGAAGGAGATGGGACTGTATGGAAGGGAGTTTAGTCCAACGGTAGCTATTCCTGTAAATCCACCATGGCTACTCCCGCCTCCAGTAGTTGATCTAGAAGTGTTGGAGAGACTACAGAAAGATAGGGAGGGTGTTGATCCATCTGATTTGTTTAAGAGACGTCTGGATACTGTGTATCAGGATATCATTTACACAGATGGTTCAAAAGATCCAAGGACAGGACGTACTGGGTCAGCATTTGTAGTGCAGGAATGAGGGGTGGAAGTCAGGAAACGTATTACAGATCATCTGGCTGTATATATACGGCAGAGCTGATGGTCATACTGTTGGCCTTGCAGTGGATGGAGGAAGTAAAGCCAGACAGAGTAGTTATTTGCTCTGATTCATGTGCAGTGTTAATGAGTCTCCAGTCCTTTAGCTGATGTAGCAGACAATACCTACTTTATGAGGTGCTACAAACCCATGGCAGGATTAGACAGATGGATATACAGATAAGATTTACTTGGGTCACAGCCCATGTGGTGGTGGAGGGGAACGAGGCAGTTGATGTACTGGCTAAACAAGCAGTTAGTAGTGGGGATGTTGATGTTGTAGTTTCAATGAGCAAGGCAAAGGCAAAAAGCCTGATATGGACAGTGATGGTGCAGAGATGGCAGGAGCAGTGGAATAGAGATACTAAGGGCAGGCATTTATTTCAAGTAAAGTCGGGGAGGGAGGACGGCAGGAAGGGACAGAAGAGAGGAAGCTATTTTTACTAGATTAAGTGTGGGACACAGCCAGTTGAATAAGACCTTAAATGTGACAGGAAAGTTTGATTATTGCCAGGAAACAGAGACTGTGGAGCATGTATTGCTACAGTGTGGGCAGTATCAGAAGGAAAGCGAGAGGCTGAGATCTAGTATGAGGGAGAAGGGGATGCAGGAAATTAGTTTAAAGAGTATATTGAGTAGAACGTCATTAGATATAGTCTCAAATATTTTGTTATCTTTTTTAAGAGCAACGGGGCTGGCAGGTAGGATTTAGTTTCTCCCTGTTGCTGGCCCACACTCCAGTACAGTAGGTGGCCGTAATGCACCATAACGTTGGATGCTAACCGCCGATAAACCCCACCGAAGAAGAAGAAGAAGAAGAGTTCACTCATCTGATGGACATTGTATGTCAGTAGGGGCGGAAGGTGGTTCTAATTTGCCGGAAATTAGCAGAACAGATGCTGATGCGTAGAACGTCAGATGGAAAAAAGATGGCGGAAGCGGATGATGAAGTGGATTCTGAATCTAATGGCGGTAGAATCAAGGAGAATTGGAATATTGTCCAAAAGAAAGGAAAACAGAGCAAAGTAGAGTATAGTGATGAGAATGTCACTTCGTATCTTGTAGGAGTACGGTTTGTAAATGAGGAGCAGCTGATCGAATAACCAATCTTGAGGAATCCATTTGAGATATCCAAACTGGTGGAGAGAGTACTGGGTATAGTGACGGCTGTGAGGATCATGAGAGGCGGGCTGGTTTTAATTGTTTGTGCTTCTCAGGATCAGAAGAAACGTGTCTTGCGTCTCAACCGATTTGATAAGTTTGAAGTATCGTGTGTGTCTCTTAGGAACAGGGCACCCCTCAAGGGGGTTATATCTGGAGTCTCGTGGGAAGTAGATGTTGAAAAGATGAAAAATATTCCTGGAGTGATTGATGCACGTCGGATGGATCGTGTGGTGAATGAAGAAGAAGTGAAGAGTATCTGTTCTTTAGTTTTTTGATATGGAGTCTCTCCCTACTCAAGTGCAGTTAGGGTATATTAACTACAGAGTCAGAGCATTTATCCCAAGACCAATGCAGTGTGATCATTGCAAAGCTTTTGTTCATGTTTCAAGTGTTTGCAGAAGGGAGAAGCTGAGATGTCCAAGTTGTGGAAAATATAATATTATGTGTTATAAAAGTGATGAAAATTTAACATGTTGCAATTGTGGTGGGAACCTTGAAGCCACATCTTTTGAATGCCCCACAAGGGTCGAAGAGAATGAGGTGGCCAAAGTCAGGGCTATCCAGAGCATATCGTATGCAGCAACTGTTAAAAGGGTTGAGGGTTTGAATGGTGCACTTGAATAGTCCATGGTGGTGGATAGGCCTTCGCTACAAGGGTTGCCTTTCACCAGCAGGATCCTGACATTTTAAAGGTTAAGAAGGTGGACTTTGTGGCCTTTATAGCTATAGTGATAAATGGCACTGCCAAGGTGGAGAGAAGGTTCAGGAAGATATAAATCATTGTGGAAGCAGCGGCGTGGTTCCTGGGGCTGAAAGATTTCTCAGCGAAGGATTAACATGGAATATTGTCACAAGCCGTACCACCATCTCAGGCCCTAGAGCCTGAGAAGGGAGATATGGAGAATTGGAAGAAGTGGGAGTTTTGTTTTGTCAATGTACTATTTTAATTTGGGTGGATTAAGTTAGTTTCCCTATCACGTATGGATTTTATTTTGACCTTGTTTTGGTTTCAACCCGTCCAGTTAGTGGCGGCAATACACCTTTTTGGGTTGTAGTCCGCCATAAAACCCACAGAAGAAGAAGTATGTCGGGTGGCGCATTGACGTATTGGACGTGGCCTGGGAGACGAAGTGGCGTAGCTTGGAATCCGGAAGTGGTAGAAGGTGTATGCTAATGTTTCAGTTGTTTTCTGTATTACCAGGTTAGCTAGGTTAGCTAACGTACTCGTTGTAATCAAAATGGGACTGTTCGGAAAAACACAAGATAAACCACCAAAAGACTTGGTAAGTGAAGGCTTCTGGTGAGGGGCGACGCGAGCTTGACAGCTAGCCAAACAACTCATTCTAAGCTAGCTACAGTACCTAGCAGCTAGGCTAGCTTGCTCTGTTTATTTATGGTACTGTAGCTAGGGCGACGTTTATCCTCTCCTCATGACCTCCGTCGTATTTAAACTTGAATCAAAAAACGTTGTATTGTAATGTAGCTAGCTAACGTTTACTAAGGCAGTTTACGAGTTAGCTAACGCTAGCCAATGGTTGCGAACATTAGCATTTGAGTTTGATTGTTTGCCACACAGTAGCTAACCCTAACTTGCTAGCTAGCTTGTTGTGGCCTTCAATATAAGTGCTTGTTTGCTAGCTACTTGTATTGGAAGAATATGTAGCCTATATTTACAAACTTTATTCCCCAAAATGCAATGGCTAGTTGCTGGCCTGTTGCTCATTTACACGGTAGCAGCAGCTAGCTAGCAGCCAGCACCATCCTCTGATGTAAACAAACGACCAGAAATCTAACGTCACTTTTCATGGTTCTGTCTCAAATGTACACCGAAGAAGAAAAAAGTATTGTTTACACGACATTTCCTTAAGCTTGACAGTGAATGACACGTCTGATTAATGTCATATTTGACTTAGTGATTTGCTAAAGCTTAATTCACTTTTTTTTTCTATCATTGAAGGTAAATGAATGGTCACTCAAAATCAGGAAGGAGATGAGAGTGATTGACAGACAAATTCGAGGTGAGAAGAAGTACTTTAAGGCTACCTTATGTGAAGCCTAGTCCAATGTTGGTTTAAGAATGCCAGAGAGCAAATCATTTTCAATACGAAAACAATACACTATAACATTATAAATACCAAGGAAATCTGCTGTCAAACTTCTGTCATAATGTTCTACATTAGTTTGTTATATTACATTATATTAGCAGTCTCTCATTGTTCCTCTCCTATCTCAGACATTCAGAGGGAGGAGGAGAAGGTAAAGAGATCCATCAAAGATGCTGCTAAAAAGGGACACAGGGACGTGTGTGTGGTTCTTGCAAAAGAGATGATACAGTCGAAGCGTGCAGTCAGCAAACTTTATGCCTCCAAAGCCCAAATGAACTCTGTACTTCTCAGCATGAAGAACCAGCTTTGTGAGTGTGAAGGAAACTACTGATGTAGCACCACCAGCTACAAAATGCCCAGGATAAGTTCAGTTGATGACAAATTAATAGAAATGCTTTGTAACTCTGGACGCTAGTAGGGGTGCATAGTTTTTTCTGGTCAGGTCAAGTCATGGCCCTAATATGAATATGTACGTGTTACATTACGAAGGGGTGGTGTCTGGTGTGTGACTGCTGTTATTTTTCCAGCTTTATTGCGTGTAGCTGGCGCCCTTCAGAAGAGCACAGAGGTCATGAAAGCCATGCAGAGCTTAGTGAAGATCCCAGAGATCCAGGGCACCATGAGGGAGCTGTCCAAGGAGATGATGAAGGTCAGTCGCATATCCGCTGACTCACTGTGGCCGCTTTGTTACTGTTGGGAACATAAATCGATCACTGCTCATGTCTATTGCTGCTGCGTCACGTACCAGTGTGTAGCCCTCTTTAGAGACTCGGGGAAGCTGTCCAGTTTTTAACCACTGCTACGATCTGAAGCTACAAACATACAATTCATATAACCAACAATATTATGCACTGTTTAAATGTATATTGAAGAATAACAATGTTTAAATTAATAAATACTGTTTGAGTATTGATATAACCTTTTGGTGTTTATGTCCCACAGGCTGGTATCATAGAGGAGATGCTGGAGGATACCTTTGAAAGCATGGAGGATGATGATGAGATGGAGGAGGCAGCGGAGGCAGAAGTTGATAAGATCCTCTTTGAGATCACAGCAGGTAAAGACAGTCCCTCTGGTAATGAAACTGGTCTCAAACAGTTGTGTGGGGCTGTAAATTATCACCTGTCTGGCAGGGGCTGAGGGTAAAAAATAAAATGTTGTACATGGTGGTTTGTTCCATTTTAGGTGCCCTTGGCAAAGCGCCCAGCAAAGTCACAGATGCCCTGCCTGAAATGGAGCCTCCTGCGGCAGCCGCAGCCTCAGAGGATGAGTCGGAGGAGGACATTGAGGAGATGCAGTCTAGACTGGCAGCCTTAAGGAGCTAAGATTGACCTTTTGACCTCTTTTTGTCCCCTTAAAGCCTTTTTGCCTTCCCAAGGATGTACAAAGACAATTTTGGTCTACTCTAGGGTTTACCTAGTTTCTTCTCAAATACATTTAGTCTCTTTCTTTCACATTATTATTTTTGATTAGCTTTGGGCTGAGAACTTTTCAATGCTTAGGGCTAAATAACATATCAGATCTATTCTTATGAAAGTTGGCTTTTATGACCTTACATATAAGCTGGGTAAGCCCATAAATCACCCAAAGTGTGGTGACTGTATACCCAACGTTGCAAAGATATATATGAATCCCAAGATCGCTGAAAATAAGAAAGGCTCATGCGTATCTAAAGTGCTGAGTGTGGTCTGATTATTTTGGGGAAGCTGAGGCTTCATCCTGCAATTGGTTGGATTAACTACCCACTGTGCACACACAAGTTGAATCAATGTTGTTTCCACGTCAAATCAATTAAATTACGTTGAACCAACATGGAATAGACGATGAGTTGACGTCTGTGCCTAGTGGACAGAGACTTACTCTGAGCCGGTCACTGACATATCTAATCCGTAATGGAAACGTCTTGCTCTGCATTGCGATATTAAATGAGTGACTCATCACATTTTAGTGTTCATTAAACTTTAATCCACGATGTTAATAACTTTAATCCATCACTACTCTGATCTAGTTCAGAAATCTATCTAAATGTAATACAATATACACTGAGTATACCAAACATTAGGAACACCTTCCTAATAAGGAGTTGCACCCCACCCTTTGCCCTCAGAACAGCCTCAATTCGTCGGGGCATGGACTCTACAAGGTGTTGAAAACATTCCATGCTTCCCACAGTTGTGTCAAGTTAGCTGGATGTCCTTTGGGTGGTGGACTATTCTTGATTCACACGGGAAACTGTTGAGCATTAAAAACCTAGCAGTGTTGCAGTTCTTGGCACAAACCGGTGCGCCTGTCACCTACTACTATACCCTGTTCAAAGGCACTTTAATATTTTGTCTTGCCCATTTACCCTCTGAATGGCACACATACACAATCCATGTCTCAATTGTCTCAAGGCTTAAAAATACTTATTTAACCTGTCTCCTCCCTTCATCTGCACTGATTTGAAGTCGATTTAACAAGTGACATCAATAAGGGATCATAGCTTTCACCTGGTCAGTCTGTCATGGAAAGAGCAGGTGTTCTTAATGTTTTGTACACTCAATGTATTTAATTTACTTTCAGCATTTGAAACACTAGAACTAAAAAGCAAACTTCTCTTTTAAAGATTATATGTACAGTGCATATCTATCTTTATTATTATTATTGTCTTCTGTAATGTTGTTTGGAGGGGTAAAGAAGGAACGCAAATTCTAACCGATTTTGTACGTTGAGATCCTGCTTCTTTAACTGTGTATTGTTGGCCTCAAAGTCCTTAAAGTTGTTGTGCTTATTCAGTAAAAAATCTGATTTGTTAGTCTCATTTCAGACCCTGTGTGTTATGGGTTGTTTTCTTCTGTGCATACTTTTGTTTTTTATGTGGCCAGGAAATTAAGGAAATAAACATGGATGATTTTACTGTTGCCTGGCCTCTCTCCATACTTGAATGTTACCTGAAAGTTAAGGAAAATAGAAGAGTAGGATGAAAGGGAAAAAGTGGACAAATGTGTTTGGTTCGGTTGGTAGGTCACTTTACTTTTGTTGCTTTATTTTATGGGAAAGAGCAACTACTGTGAAAACACATTCAAGACTGAGATAGTCTTGGAGCTAAACTTTGCTCTGGGGTGCTTTTCCCTTGGCTTCAAAGGGATTAGCTTTCTACCAGCCACAGCCCTCCCTCAGCAGCCTTTGTGTGTAATGTAACCAAAGTCTTATCTCGATCCTCTGACTGTTGATATGTAGGTTACCAGTCAAAAAAGCGCTGTCTCATGTTTTAGGGAAAACTCCCAAAAATGATTTACAAGCTTCAACTAATAGCAGTGGATTTTATTGAATTAGTATTGTTTCTGAAACTGAACACTTACATGTGTTTTGCAATCATAGTTTGCTATGCTATTGAGACGTTTAATCCACACTGCCTGGTCCATGCTATCTGGGATCCTTGGGATGTCTCAACCCTCTATTGAAGTTGAAATTTAAAATGGTTAGGGTAGCGTTTAGGATTCTGAATAGCACTTACCCTGCCTGGTCTGCTCACTTTCTTTTTCTTCCAGATCCAGGCCCTCTATTTCCCAGAAGGTGGTTGATATTGGTGTTATCATTACAACCTCACAATCTTCCTAGTTATAGTGTTACATTTTTAAATGATGTATTTACATTAATTCAAACAACATCAGGTAGTTAGGCCAGTAATTATTTCAATAGACTCAAAACTGTTTATTCTGTATCACGTTCATGTCTGCGTGCAGCGCACCGTTTGACGCCGTGGTTGGTCCTCGCTGACGCTGCTGTCAAATGGCAACTGCCAACGCTCAAGAAGGAAACTCCTCCCTGTTGACAGCACGTTCCGTTACCTTCTCAGCGCAATGGTTTCTTGGATAATCTCTAGACTTGTGGTGTAAGTTATTTTTTATCACATTCTTCTTTCATAAAAATCCCAACTCGAGATAATGCCGTTTGCTGTAAATATGCGTTTTTTTTCTGTGACACAAGGTGCATGACAGCAGTGGCGGCTTTATAGCCTATTTAGGCTACGTCTTATTTCTAAGCAGAGATGGTGACTCTGGGGTTTGAGACGAGACAGAATATTGTGCTCTGTTTATGACTGTGTTATTCCTTATTTAAAGAATGGGGTTTTTGCCATTTCGGCGCACATTATTTGATTTAATTGTCATATCACATTTAAAGGTCGGTGAATATTTTGTTTAGCCTATTATGTATTTACATGCGATTATATTCCAGACAAAGAATTACGTGATTGCCCAAATTAAATATGTATATTTCTATTGATATATGTCTGCTCATGCAGAGCTATGCATGTTGGAAATGATCAAGCAACAAGAATGCTGCCATCGATAGGGGATTTCATGCAGTAAAAGCAAATATAACTGAATAAAATGCTTTTATAAAGCACAGAGCAGTGGTAAGCAGAGCTATTTTATGATACTTGATGTCCTTTATTTGGAAAACAAAGGGATGGGTCAACCCTCTCAGGTTACAATACAAGTGTTGCATATAATTCTAAGACTTTATTGCCACAAATGTTCTGAGCCATCTGAATATTTAAGCACGTTAATCTATGGAAGCAGAATTATAGGCTCCACTGGCCATTTCTATTGTGTTGTAATATGGCGAAATGATTAAACGTGTTCACAACATATAGACTTGGAGTTAGCCAAATCTCAAAATAGCACGTAAATTAAATTTAGGTTACAATATCATATTACATTGCTGTTTCAGACATGAGGCTCCAAGTGTCTTCTTTCTGTCTGTCTTGGCATTCAAAGCTCTATATAGACTATCCAACACAACATTTTATTTGTTATTTTGAGGTCTTAAGCAGAAACACTGAATGCATTTTGTTTTGAGTGACCTTGTGGGTGTAACAACTGTATGGTTATACAGGACAAGCCAGTGTAGGCCTATATACGTCAGTAATTTAAGCAGGTCACACTCAGCTGTTGCCATACTGTTGCTTCAAGACAAGGGGTCCCCCTGTCCGAAAGATATACAGTCCCACACAGGTGTAGTCCTCGTGTGGCCTTGTTTAATAAGTTCGAATTTTAAATGTGCTCCCATTAGTTTGAATTGTTGTTGAAAATATGAGTGTCTTCATGTCAATTACACATTCAACAATATGGGCGGAATTGGAAATCACTTGCGCACGTAAAACTCGGACTTATCTCGCGGGGTCTCTGATGGCAATGGGATTTTGGCGCAAAGGAAATGCGCATGGGATGGTTCTCAGATACTCACTCACAATTTCTTGGGAATATGAGCCACTCCCTGTTGATTTATTATTTGTTTATATAAACATTATGCATTCAATCAAATCTAAAACAGTTTTAACACAGTCAATTCGTCATAAACCCAATACCCAGGACTGGGGAGTCAGAGGATAGATAATGGCAATTCAATTGTGAACTGCTGTCAGTTGCTGTAGCCTACTTTGGACAGTTTTTACTATTGAGTTTTATTTGCTTTTATCCCCATAAATGTGTGTGGATGTGCTGGACAAGCACTTATTGCATAGGCTAATGACATGTTTTGTGTTTTCCAGGCTTGTATTTGGCACATTATATCCTGCATACTCCTCATACAAAGCTGTCAAGTCAAAGGATGTGAAGGAATATGTGAGTATTAGCAACATTATGAAAAAAAGTGACAATGAAACCAAACAGTAACATGCCATAGTCTGGGCATATTATGGGCCAGTTTCACAGACCCAGCCAACTCTTGGACTGAATTACTTAAACCAGGATTTATTAGAATTGAGTTTAATATTCTGAACTATTATGTATCAGACTAACTGTGATAGTTATTTTGATTTTAAAGGTGAAATGGATGATGTACTGGATCATATTTGCACTATTCACCACCATGGAAACCATCACAGATATATTTATCTGTTGGTAAGTTAATGGTGTATTATAAAACACCTATTTTGTTTATGTATATTATTATTTCACTTGATTTCATATAATTAGTTATGATGTCCAAAATATTGTTCTGAAATAGTACTGAGTCACATAACATTAGCCAACATAGGATAGTCATAAGACTAATGATGGTGTTGTAATGGAGTATAGATTTTATGAATGCTCTGATCACTGTATTATTCTTCCCTTCACTGTAGGGTTCCTTTCTATTATGAGCTGAAGATTGCCTTTGTGGTATGGTTACTGTCTCCCTACACAAAGGGGTCCAGTGTTCTATACAGGAAGTTTGTTCACCCAACACTATCTTCAAAAGAGAAGGTGAGACCAGTGCATTAGTACTTTTTTTTTTGTCCTCTTGAAATGTATTATGAGGTGTCTTCTATATTATATATGCTTTAAATGCTCTGCTAATAATTTTAATGACAGAGTTTGCTGTGATCAATTATCCAAGGGAGAGGTTGGATTGTCCTAGCTGGTCATGTTTTGGGTGATGGGCAGGAAGGAAACGGCACACGTCAGAGTTGAGAGGGGACCAACACAGGGACCCACTGTCATATGAAAATAACAATAACACTGATTCTAAAAGACAATCAAGATGTCCACTCTTTATGTGTGAAGAAACATATACATTGCTAAAGAGCAATCTCAAGACAGATAGAGACCATGTTCATTACAAATAGTCACAACATTTATTGTTTACATACAGTACATCAAATCTATGAATGTGTTTTTCACATGGCCTGCCAATAAAAACACAAGTAATGTGTTTTTCTCTCTGTCCAGGATATTGATGACTATCTCTGCCAAGCAAAGGACAAAAGCTACGATACTCTGGTGACTTTTGGGAGGAAAGGTTTGAATGTAGCAGCCACAGCTGCAGTCCTGGCTGCGACAAAGGTAATGCTTACTATTTTAATTTCTGATGTGTCCTGGGGGAATGGTGGGGTGAAGTGATGTTTTTCTGTATTCATATAGATAATTCATAGTGTTCATGTATTTTGTCTCCCACCCCAGAGCCAAGGAGTACTGTCAGATAGACTACGAAGTTTCAGCATGCATGACTTGTCTGCCTACCAGTCCGACCAAACTGAGATGGACTCTGGATCTGTCTCCACCCAGTCTGCAGCTGGACAACAGAGGGCCAAGACCATGATGCGCAGCAAGTCAGAGAGTGGCTACACCAAGGGTGAGACTATACTGCCACATACACTTACATCACTAACCAGGATACAGACAGAACGAATGACACAGCCAGTGTCAGGATGAGATGATCCTATTGCACATAATTTTCCCATAAGACAATTTGATCACCTCTTAGATAACTACCAGGTAATAGCTAAGTAGCAATATGGTAACACTGAAAAGGGTAGATACAGTGCATTCGGAAAGTATTCAGACCCCATTACTATTTCCAAATGTTGTTACGTTACAGCCTTATTCTAAAATGGATTAAATAGTTTTTTCCCCTCATCAATCTACACACAATACCCCATAATGACAAAGCAAAAACAGGTTTTTAGAAATGTTTGCAAATGTATAAAAATAAAACACGGAAATATCACATTTACATAAGTATTCAGACCCTTTACTCAGTATTTTGTTGAAGCACCTTTACCAGCGATGACAGCCTCAGGTCTTCTTGGGTATGACGCTACAAGCTTGGCACATCTGTATTTGGGGAGTTTCTCCCATTCTTCTCTGCAGATCCTCTCAAGCTCTGTCAGGTTGGATGGGGAGCGTCACTGCACCGCTACTTTCAGGTCTCTCCAGAGATGTTCGATCGGGTTCAAGTCCGGGCTCTGGCTGGGCCACTCAAGGACATTCAGAGACTTGTCCCGAAGCCACTCCTGCGTTGTCTTGGCTGTGTGCTTAGGATCATTGTCCTGTTGGAAGGTGAACCTTCGCCCCAGTCTGAGGTCCTGAGCACTCTGGAGCAGGTTTTCATCAAGGATCTCTCTGTACTTTGCTCCGTTCATCTGCCCTTGATCCTGACTAGTCTCCCAGTCCTTGCTGCTGAAAAACATCCCCATAGCATGATGCTGTCACCACCATGCTTCACCGTAGGGATGGTGCCAGGTTTCCTCCAGACGTGACGCGTGGCATTCAGGCCAAAGAGTTCAGTCTTGGTTTAATCAGACCAGAGAATCTTGTTTCTCATGGTCTGAGAGTCCTTTAGGTGCCTTTGGCAAACTCCAAGCGGGCTGTCATATGCCTTTTACTGAGGAGTGGCTTCCGTCTGGCCACTCTACCATAAAGGCCTGATTGGTGGAGTGCTGCAGAAATGGTTGTCCTTCTGGAAGGTTCTCCCTTCTCCACAGAGGAACTCTGGAGCTCTGTCAGAGTGACCATCAGGTTCTTGGTCACCTCCGTGACCAAGGCCCTTCTCCCCCGATTGCTCAGTTTGGCCGGGCGGCCAGCTCTAGGAAGAGTCTTGGTGGTTCCAAACTTCTTCCATTTAAGAATGATGGAGGCCACTGTGTTCTTGGGGACCTTCAAAGCTGCAGAATTTTTTTGGTACCCTTGTTCAGATCTGTGCCTTGACATAATCCTGTCTTGGAGCTCTACGGACAATTCCTTCGACCTCATGGCTTGGTTTTTGCTCTGACATGCACTGTCAACTGTGGGACCTTATATAGACAGGTGTGTGCCTTTCCTAATCATGTCCAATCAATTGAATTTATCACAGGTGGACTCCCAAGTTTTAGAAACATCTCAAGGATGATCAATGGAAACAGGATGCACCTAAGCTAAACCTAAGCTACATTTCGAGTCTCATAGCAAAGGGTCTGAATACTTATGTAAATAGCGTATTTCTGTTTTTATTTATTTATAAATGTGCAAACATTTCTAAAAACCTGTTTTCGCTTTGTCATTATGGGTGTATTTATTATGTGTAGATTGAGGATTTGTATTTATTTAATCCATTTTAGAATAAGGCTGTAACGTAACAAAATGTGGAAAAAGGGAAGGGGTCTGAATACTTTCCGAATGCACTGTACGATTGGCAATGTGTACACCTCTAGCATGTGTACTAGTACGGCCTAATAGAGTAAATCATATTTCACAGTTGAACTCCCTAGTTAGTAACATATTTACCTTACTGCTTAGTATTGCTCATTGCTTCAAAGTAAAGGCATTAGAAATGTTGGCACTGCTGAAAACAGGTCTGTTTCCTCTGCGTAAACAAACATTATCATATGGCCTCTTTCCTGTTTAAGCCTGAAGATAATAGTTATGTGCCCTGACTTTCCTTAGTCCCCCTAACCCCACATCTCTATTCCTGTTTGTGACGCTCCCTGACTGCAGGTCAGTCTCCACAGGGCTGCCAGGCAGGCTCTAGACCAGTGGTATTCAAACTTTCAAACCCCAAATCTGACGACACAACATTAAAATCGGTCCATTTAGATTTTCACATAAATAAATAACCTTCAATTCATTACATTTTCTCTCTTATCAAAATTAAGAGAACCAATAAATACATTTACTCACTGAAATTGTATTTTTCAAATGATTTTTCTCAAAAACATTTGTATATTGTCTCATGAAAAAATTCTGTATTCTTAATTTTGGGCAACCCCACTGCAATTCCCTTGACTTTGAATACCACTGTTCTAGACCCACCTAGGAATGATTCACGTTTAGCTTTTATCATAGAATGACCAGAGCCTGCTCTTTGTTGGCCATACTAGTTCAATGTTTCATGTCTCATTATACGGTATGTGTTGTACAGTCCTAAAGTTTCTTTGAGATTTACTTTGTTTGGATTGATGAGTCTATTTTCCAAGAGGTTATTAATAGCCACAAGGTGAAAAAGAATGCTTTTGCACCGTCGCTCTGTTAACATTTTTTGTTGTGGATGACTGTAACTGTAAGTGGCTGTACTGTATGTGGATCATTAACAAGTTTTCCAATTATGTTTGAAAAACATGTTTCGTTAATTTACCACACACTTATTGTACAATAATTACAATGTGATTATCTGTGTTTTCAGAACAACATGATATTAGCTGATAGGTCAACCAGCGTCCTTCATATTGAAAGAGCAGGGTTATGAAAGGCTATTTTGGCCTTTTGCTTTCCGTTTCCATGGCATATTGAATGATGAGATGGAAATCCAGTGTACTCAACATGATTCTGCAGACTAAATGAAGGGCACTGAAGAGGAGTCCTCGTCCTAATGGCATTGCTCTGTGAGAGAGGGTATCCCATATCTTTCAGCATTATTCTAGTCCTTATTCCCCTGCCTGCACACATGGTCCTTTTGATGTCTGCTCCCGTGCTCTGTGTAGAGAACAACAACCCTACTCTGCCCCTTAGAAAGTCAATTCATAACAACCTCACTGTAGTGACGCTACAGCACTTCAATAATTATAGTACAACATTTTCACTGCTGCTTTCAGCATACATTCTGATATGTGTCTGTTCATTTTTCACCACCGTTGCTTCTCACGGTGCAGGGCAGGATTTGGATATGACTGCGTATGAGGTGTTGAGATTCGACCAGTGTGACACTAAGGAGCTGCTGTCCCACCCTATTACGCCCCCCAAACCCACACTCCCTCCTTCACCCTCTCTGACCCCCCAGCCCTCTCCACCTCCATCCCTTGCACCAGAGCAGACTGAGGACATGGGGGGGGAAACATCAACAAGCACCCCACAGCTCAGGCTGATTAAGAGGAAGGCACCTGAGGTACTCCTTTAAACTGGCTGGCCTACTGTGTGTGGTTCTAACTGCCCCTGAACTGGACTGTGACTAACACACCGAGTCACTAATTCTAACTGGGTTCTCGTGGCGTGGCACGGTATCATTGCAAAAATTAGGACGGCAGATCATTTTTGGCCTGAAATTGGTTGTACCGTTATGATACAAATTAGTTTCTAATATGCATTTGTAGTTTTAGTGGACTGATGTGTGTAAATTGATGTTATTTTCAGTAATGTTTTACTGCTTTTATGACTTTGCTGTTGAATGCAATGGAAGTATTGATTTGATTGCATGTATTGTTTTCCCAATTTCCCTAGAAAACAAGCTGGAACAGGCCTCTGACAAGAACATTCCACGATTGCTTTCTTTACCATGTGTCAAATCATATTTTCATAATTTACTGAGTGTTTATCTTGTGCCCAAACTGACTGTAGAGATACACAGAGCATGCATATCGGACAGACAAGATCAACATTGTCAGCCCACAAACCAGGAATAATGTTGCATTTACTGCTTTCAGAACCGTTATGGTTAATCAGTGCCCCATCTCTCTTTTTTCCGTCTCTCTCTTTCCAGCCTCCTCCTAGAGACATAAGGCCTCTCACAAGATCCAGGATTGCCCAGCTGTCTTCAAACAGAGAAGGCATGTGATTTTGTGTTAGCTGCGAGGAGAAGAGGGTAAATAAGGAAATGTGGCCAAAAGCTAAATGCATAAAGCAGCCTTGTTTTAGTATAAGGAAACCAAAGTGACTTGTGACCCTCTATCTTAATATATATGACCTCTGGCACATACTGTACTGTAAAGGAGACAGATGGTGGGTGCCATCAAGGTAGCACTCAAGAGTGGGCTCCATACCATACAGACATTTGGATTGATTTGGTCGGTCATTGAATATGTTTTTGTATGTATGTAAAGTGTGTGTATTTATCATTCAGATAGTTTTTTATATATTATGTTTAGAGACAAATGCATGTATGTGTCTCTGGTCCTTAGTCAGGTGATGTCATAAAACAGAATGTATTGTCACTTCATCTTTTTGTGGCTACTTGGTCACTGTCTGAGATGGCATCAGTCATCAGGAGAGTAGCAGGGTGAAATAATCCCTAAGTAAAGGATTTGGTTGTCCACTCACTGTCTTGGGTTTGTAGGGTGAGCTTTGACCTGGCAAATACAATCTGTACTGACAATTTAACAGAAATTAATTGTCCTGTCAGGTTAGTATAACTCCTCAAAGGTGGTATTTATTTATGAGATAAAATAGCTGTGGTAGGACTTCAAAAATGCTGATTATATGAATCTACTAGCAATGGAACTAAAAGAGTCAGCCAACTACAAGTAAGGGCTCTATTCAATCTGTATCGCTGAAGCATACAGAAATGTAAAGGAAATGTCTGATTGAGCCGACATGTGCAGCGTTTACCGTGAAAGCAGTCTCCGCTAACGCGCTAACATTGCCTTTAAATTTAAATCACGCTGTAACGCTGAACTTCCGCGATACGGATTGAATAGAGCTCTTTACCTTTGCTTATAAAGCCTTAAACCATTCAAATAAAACAGTGAGTACCTGGTACTTCAGAAACAGTAATATCAGTACTTGTATTTCTTGCAACGAGCACTAAAATATCACGAAAAACATTCTTCCAGAGAGAAAAATCATAAGCAATTCTATGCTTTTTCTACAAGTGGCCATAACTATGATTAATGTCATGCACTGTTCAGTTACTGCAACTGTTCCAGTACCATGAAATGGCAAAAAAGTAAACAACAGAACTGTAAGAATGTTTTTTCCCTTTTTTGGTTCACTGATCACCATGTTATTTACCATTACCAAAATTATTATTATATGGGATTAGTTAGTATTCAAATAAAGAAATTGCTCTATGGAGCAGAAATGTTGACAATCGACTTTTCAATCGCTTTATGACTAATCTGGCATTCAAGTCTGTCATTCAATTGTTTTGTAAAAGTTTGTTATTCATGTCGTATAGGCATCACTATACATTTAAGTATTTTCAGGTTTAGCACACAAAATATTATTTGAAGTGTATAGCTATTGTATAACAAAAGATACAGTGGCGAGGGCTATATACTCTGGTCCTTCTCAGAGTCTAAAAATACTGTGCAATACTCTGCTTTCATTGAGCAATTGTCAACTCACGCTTCTTACTCAAAACTCTACATTTCTCAATGTAGCCACAATTGTCGACCTGTATTTTCCCAGCCATTGTGAAGAGATTCATTTCTAATTCCTCTCTCAGACCTGCCTGTTGCCAAATCTGTGAGGGCATAGCAATTACACTATAGGTGGGCAGGTTCCTAACCTTTTGTAAATTACATGAATATCGAGAAAGTGTTTTTGCCAATGGTAGTAACAAAAGTGAGTGACATGCGGTCTGTCTTTAAATGAACGTTTTTGCACTGTAGGTATGTGAATTCACTTAGATTGAACCCTCTTGGCTATTACACAATGAGTCACTGAATCTGTGAATTATGCTTGGTGTTTGGGCAGCATTCATTTTAGTTCACTGTTCTCAATACAGTAGCTTAAATTATGAATTAAGACTTCTCCTCAGGTACGTGTGTTGAGTTTACATCAAATTAAAAAAAATTCTGGAAAAAAGATTTAGGTATACACTTGTTGGCAGAGATTACATATGTGGTACAATTTATTTTATCCTTGTTGCAACTTTAGTAGTTTGTTAATGTGTTGGAATGCGATTGCCTTTTCAAAATCAGAAAAATTGATACAAAATAAAGTGAATCATGTTTTTGTTGCTAGCTAGTAGTACACATCAATAAAGGAAAGTCATCATTGGATGATGTTTGTTATTTAGTAAATATGAACATTATTTACTACAGAGCATTGGGTGGATTAGTTTAGTTATTTGCTTCATTGAATGCCTTTGCCGATTTTACATAGATTCTGAAGTGGCTGAATATTCTTTTCAAGCACTTTGTGGCAAGGTCAGGAAAGTTATTCTCATGGACAAAATACATGTTTCCACAATCTTGAGTCAAATAAATTGTATGAGGAACATGTCTGAACTCCATTTATTAAAAAGAAAAAATATGACAGACAGGAATGACGTGCTAAAATGACACGTGCTTTCTCTGTATCATCTGTGTTTCTGTTGGTGAACTGATAACAGCCAATATATATATATTTTTTTGTCATTTAGCAGACGCTCTTATCCAGAGCGACTTACAGTAGGGAATCAAACCCACAACCCTGGTGTTGCAAGCGCCATGCTCTACCAACTGAGCCACACGAGACAATGTGATGCCATAGCTTATGTATTTTTTTTGTATTATATTTAAATATGTAATACAATTCAAGAAGCATTTGCGATAATTTATTCAACGACTTTGAAAAGACAGTGATATTTCCATTTGATTTATCAATTGCAAATTTGCCCAAATCTGCGTTTCACTCTACGTTGACCAAAATGATGCTGTGAACAATGTTCTTGATCTCATCTGTGTACAATGAAATTTGATTAATCAATTGCAAATTACATACGTCTCAGGGTGGGAAGGCCATTTCAAGCCATTAGACTTTTAGGTTGACACGTTCATGATATTTCTTGTAGGGATCATTGACAAACCAGTTCCTCCTCTTCCAGAATTTAGTGGTCATTTTGTCCAAGAGCTTAATCTGTGTTTTGTTACAAAACACATGCTCCCTTAAACGCTTCTTTCTGGCAGGCAACTTCTTCCACAGTTTTTTCTTGTATCCAGCCTGTTGAGAATCAGCAGTAAGTGTCCATTCGAAGACAGAGGAAAAACAGAGTCAACGCCACAACCTTTATGGTTTCAGAACCTAAGGAAAACAGAATGAGACTTGTACATTACCTTGCGTCTAATCCAAAGGCCACAGTGCAGCCGCATGAACCTCTTCACGACTGACTTCACAGACTTCCTCTTCCCCTTTTTTCAGGCTGATATACGTGAGGTTTCTGATTGGCTGCTGGACCAGGCTGGGAATGAGAGGCGCAACCCTGCAAGAACCAAGCCCCACCCAAATGAGTAAAATGCTTTTTTTTTTTTTTACGTTTGCAGTTTCATGTCATTCAAACAAACAAAGCCACGGGATATTACTGCCATCATCTTATGAATTTAATTGATTGATGCATCTTTCAAATAAACAATTGAAACAAACGCTATCTAGCTAGCTAAATGAATAGAAGAAAAAAAAAGCTAATCACACTTGATGAATTGAATCTGCAAAATAAAACTATTCAGAATCTGATGAGCAGTATGTATGCCCAGCCCTCACCGTTGCAGGATGCTCGGTTTGGGTGTCTGGAAGGCTTTGGCGGACAGAGAAGCCCATGTAGGAGTAGTGAGCAGAGACCTCTGGACGGTTTGACGATGGATTATGGTGGAGAACCGACATATCTGCTGCCCCCTGGCAAACAGAGTCAACGGCCTCATCAAGCCTGTCCATGCAAAATAAAGACATTTCTAAAATTAGGGAAGCCATATCTTGTTCACTGCTAATAACGGTAGTACATATTCACTATCATCACACTAACTATATAGTTAGCTAGCATCATGACGAGTAAGCGTTGGCATTGGATAACCTTAGGCTGCTGCGCTAATAATAGCCACGAAAGTCGCCTTGTTAGGCAACAAATTAGCTATTATGATTGAAAAACAGCTAGCTATAGAACCTACACAAAACCTCTTGAAAGGTATTATCTCAATAATGTAGCAACACGTTACATACCAGGGACGTTCCTGGCCATTGTGGCTGCCATGTTTCTTATGATGCCGCTGTGAAGTAGGCAATAATAACTAAGTACTTCCGGGTCACGGATTTTTGGAATCTTTCAGAATAAGAGTTCCGTCCTGTAGACTTCGTACATTTATTTGTATTTGTATTTATTAGGGATCCCCACAAGGCAGCAGCGACTGTTCCAGGGGTCCAAACACATTAAGGCACAATTACAGTGGCTTGAGAAAGTATTGCCTTACAACCTGGAATTAAAATGGATCTTTGGGGGGTTTGTATCATTTGATTTACACAACATGCCTACCACTTTGAAGATGCAAAATATTTGTTATTGTGAAACAAACAAGAAATAAGACAAAAAAAACAGAAAACTTGAGCGTGCATAACTATGCATTACTAACCCTCCCCCCAAAGTCAATACTTTGTAGAGCCACCTTTTGCAGCAATTACAGCTGCAAGTTTCTTGGGGTATGTATAAGCTTGGCACATCTAGCCACTGGGATTTTTGCCCATTCTTCAAGGGAAAACTGCTCCAGCTCCTTCAAGTTGGATGGGTTTCACTGGTGTACAGCAATCTTTAAGTCATACCACAGATTCTCAATTGGATTGAGGTCTGGGCTTTGACTAGGCCATTCCAAGACATTTAAATGTTTCCCCTTAAACCAATCAAGTGTTGCTTTAGCAGTATGCTTAGGGTCATTGTCGTGCTGGAAGGTGAACCTCTGTCCCAGTCTCAAATCTCTGGAAAACTGAAACAGGTTTCCCTCAAGCATTTCCCTGTATTTAGAGCCATCCATCATTCCTTCATTTCTGACCAGTTTCCCAGTCCCTGCCGATGAAAAACATCCCCACAGCATGATGCTGCCACCACCATGCTTCACTGTGGGGATGGTGTTCTCGGGGTGATGAGAGGTGTTGGGTTTGCGCCAGACATAGCGTTTTCCTTGATGGCCAAAAAGCAAAATGTTAGTCTCATCTGACCAGAGTACCTTCTTCCATATGTTTGTGGAGTCTCCCACATGCCTTTTGGTGTTTGCTTCTTTTTTTCTTTAAGCAATGTCTTTTTTCTGCCCATTCTTCCGTAAAGCCTAGCTCTGTGGAGTGTACGTCTTAAAGTGGTCCCAAGGACAGATACTCCAATCTCTGCTGTGGAGCTTTTCAGCTCCTTCAGGGTTATCTTTAGTCTCTTTGTTGCCTCTCTGATTAATGCCCTCCTTGCCTGGTCCGTGAGTTTTGATGGGCGGCCCTCTCTTGGCAGGTTTGTTGTGGTACCGTATTCTTTCAATTTTTGAATAATGGATTGAATGGTGCTCCGTGGGATGTTCAAAGTTTCTGATATTATGTGACTTCTGAAGGTAATTGGTTGCACCAGATCTTATTTAGGGGCTTCATAGCAAATGGGGTGAATACATATGCACGCACCACTTTTCCGTTATTTATTTTTTTGAATTTTTTTGAAACCAGTAATTTTTTTCATTTCACTTCACCAATTTGGACTATTTTGTGTATGCCCATTACATGAAATCCAAATAAAAATCCATTTAAATTACAGGTTGTAATGCAACAAAATAGGAAAAACACCAAGGGGGATGAATACTTTTGCAAGGCACTGTATCTATATATTTTATACTAGTTATCAAATAATAATTTAAAGTATTACTATGGGATGTGTGATTTATTTGTTTATTTGTAAAAAATTCAAGCCTAAATGGTCAATAATGTTTGTGTGTGTACTATAATTTATTGCACCATACACAATTTTGGGTACGTTGTGTCACAGTAAAGGGTGGTCCATTCTACTCAGGAGCACTTCTACTTAACAAATCCACAGAGTTTACACCCAGAGGACCCAGTCTGGTTTTATGAAGGGCAGACATAAACTGCCAGGACCCTGTCTTTCAAAGATAATTTGTAAAAATACCAAATAACTTCAAAGATTCTCATTGTAAAGGGTTTAAACACTGTTTCCCATGCTTGTTCAATGAACCATAAACAATTAATGAACATGCACCTGTGGAACGGTCGTTAAGACACTAACAGCTTACAGATGGTAGGCAATTAAGGTCACAGTTATGAAAACTTAGGACAATGAAGAGGCCTTTCTACTGACTCTGAAAAACACCAAAAGAAAGACGCCCAGGGTCCCTGCTCATCTGCGTGAATGTGCCTTAGGCATGCTGCAAGGAGGCATGAGGACTGCAGATGTGGCAATAAATTGCAATGTCCGTACTGTGAGACGCCTAAGACAGCGCTACAGGGAGACAGGATGGACAGCTGATTGTCCTCGCAGTGGCAGACCACGTGTAACAACACCTGCACAGGATCGGTACATCCAAACATCACACCTGCGGGACAGGTACAGGATGGCAACAACAACTGCCCGAGTTACACCAGGAACGCACAATCCCTCTGTCAGTGCTCAGACTGTACGCAATAGGCTGAGAGAGGCTGGACTGAGGGCTTGTAGGCCTGTTGTAAGGCAGGTCCTCACCAGACATCACCGGCAACAACGTCGCCTATGGGCACAAACCCACCATCACTGGACCAGACAGGACTGGGCAAAAAGTGCTCTTTACTGACGAGTCGCGGTTTTGTCTCACCAGGGGTGATGGTCGGATTCACGTTTATCGCAGAAGGAATGAGTGTTACACCGAGGCCTGTACTCTGGAGCGGGATCGATTTGGAGGTGGAGGGTCCGTCATGGTCTGGGGCGGTGTGTCACAGCATCATCGGACTGAGCTTGTTGTCATTGCAGGCAATCTCAACTCTGTGCGTTACAGGGAAGACATCCTCCTCCCTCATGTGGTACCCTTCCTGCAGGCTCAGTTGTTGAATCTTGTTCTGTTCATACAAATATTTACACATGAAGTTTGCTGAAAATAAACGCAGTTGACTAGTATTGGACTTGATAGACTACAATGAGCACATTATGGAAGATCTCCATATGATCACATATCTTGGTATTAAAGTTAGCAAAGATCATAAAGAAAGGGCCAATTTAAATGTATCTCCTACCGTAGAGAAAATTGGAAAGAGATTTAACTCCTAGTTATTAAGAGATCTTTCTTTATCTGGACGTGTACTTTGTCAAAATCTAAAAGTCTGTCCAGATTACTTTATACCTCCCTTGCCTTGGATGTTCCTCTGTCAGTAACTAAAATGGTTGATACAAAATTATTTAACTTCATATGGAGGAATAAACCTCATTATTTAAGAAAAGCGGTAATATGTAGCATCCAAAGTTAGGGAGGGTTTAATGCTCTGGATTTTAAAACCGCTAATATAATTTTAAAGATCAAATGGATACAAAAATATTTAAGAAATAAGGATTGCATTTGGACTATAATCCCTCATTTAATATTCCAACAGATTGGTGGTCTAGAGTTCTTACTCAAATTAAGATCCCTATTGAGCTTGCTAACTTTCATAAAAAAAGTACTTCTAACTTGGAACCTCATGTACAAACATAACTTTCCCCACATACAGTGAGGGAAAAAAGTATTTGATCCCCTGCTGATTTTGTATGTTTGCCCACTGACAAAGAAATGATCAGTCTATAATTTTAATGGTAGGTTTATTTGAACAGTGAGAGACAGAATAACAACAAAAACATCCAGAAAAACGCATGTCAAAAATGTTATAAATTGATTTGCATTTTAATGAGGGAAATAAGTATTTGACCCCCTCTCAATCAGAAAGATTTCTGGCTCCCAGGTGTATTTTATACAGGTAACGAGCTGAGATTAGGAGCACACTCTTAAAGGGAGTGCTCCTAATCTCAGCTTGTTACCTGTATAAAAGACACCTGTCCACAGAAGCAATCAATCAATCAGATTCCAAACTCTCCACCATGGCCAAGACCAAAGACCTCTCCAAGGAAGTCAGGGACAAGATTGTAGACCTACACAAGGCTGGAATGGGCTACAAGACCATCGCCAAGCAGCTTGGTGAGTAGGTGACAACAGTTGGTGCGATTATTCGCAAATGGAAGAAACACAAAATAACTGTCAATCTCCCTCGGCCTGGGGCTCCATGCAAGATCTCACCTCGTGGAATTGCAATGATCATGAGAACGGTGAGGAATCAGCCCAGAACTACACGGGAGGATCTTGTCAATGATCTCAAGGCAGCTGGGACCATAGTCACCAAGAAAACAATTGGTAATACACTACGCCGTGAAGGACTGAAATCCTGCAGCGCCCGCAAGGTCCCCCTGCTCAAGAAAGCACATATACAGGCCCGTCTGAAGTTTGCCAATGAACATCTGAATGATTCAGAGGAGAACTGGGTGAAAGTGTTGTGGTCAGATGAGGCCAAAATCGAGCTCTTTGGCATCAACTCAACTCGCCGTGTTTGGAGGAGGAGGAATGCTGCTTATGACCCCAAGAACACCGTCCCCACCGTCAAACATGGAGGTGGAAACATTATGCTTTGGGGGTGTTTTTCTGCTAAGGGGACAGGACATTTTCACTGCATCAAAGGGACGATGGACGGGGCCATGTACCGTCAAATCTTGGGTGAGAACCTCCTTCCCTCAGCCAGGGCATTGAAAATGGGTCGTGGATGGGTATTCCAGCATGACAATGACCCAAAATACACGGCCAAGGCAACAAAGGAGTGGCTCAAGAAGAAGCACATTAAGGTCCTGGAGTGGCCTAGCCAGTCTCCAGACCTTAATCCCATAGGAAATCTGTGGAGGGAGCTGAAGGTTCGAGTTGCCAAACGTCAACCTCGAAACCTTAATGACTTGGAGAAGATCTGCAAAGAGGAGTGGGACAAAATCCCTCCTGAGATGTGTGCAAACCTGGTGGCCAACTACAAGAAACGTCTGACCTCTGTGATTGCCAACAAGGGTTTTGCCACCAAGTACTAAGTAATGTTTTGCAGAGGGGTCAAATACTAATTTCCCTCATTAAAATGCAAATCAATTTATAACATTTCTGACATGCGTTTTTCTGGATCTTTTTGTTGTTATTCTGTCTCTCACTGTTCAAATAAACCTACCATTAAAATTATAGACTGATCATTTCTTTGTCAGTGGGCAAACGTACAAAATCAGCAGGGGATCAAATACTTTTTTCCCTCACTGTAGATATACAATCTGGAATTATAAAGACATAAGATACAAAAACAAGTCTTTGTTTTTCCAGAACTGGTTTGACAACAGCATTATCTGGGTTAAACAATTATTAAATAATGATGGACAACTATATGATTATCCAGAATTCATGAGAACACACAATGTTTCAAATAGTTGTTAGAGCTGTCCCTCATTGTGCTATTCCACTTTTAGGAGAATATAACAATACTCCAAGTGCAACTGTTGAGGATTTTGTAGCCTCAATTCAGCTAGAAGGAATTGACATTTTAAACTATAAATGTAATAACATATATATAAGAAAACTCAAGATGTTACTATTCCCTCTGCTAGAATATACTGGAATACAGCTCTAGGACAAGTGAACTGGAACAAAGTATTGTTGTCTGGGAAATATTGTATATCTAATAAGGTGAAAGAAGTATCATACAAACTCATTCATATAATCTACCCTGTAAAGACCTTTATTGTACACAGATTCAAAATTGCTATTGATAACAAATGTTTATTTTGTGGTTGTGACCCAGAGACTCTTGACCATTTATTTTGGGACTGTTCTTATGTCAGAATATTTTGGAGGAGTTAGAAGATGTTCTTTTAAAATAAACTACTATTAATGTTAATTTGAAAGACTGATATTTTGTTTTATTTTGATCCAAATTATATGGACCCCAATTTAACTTTAATTGTTAATTTGTTTATCCTTCGTGGAAGATTCTTTATCCATAAAATGAAGTGGGTGGAGAACAAACCCCTCTTCACATTGTTTAAGATAGAATTGAAACATTTATGAATTGATCAGTGTAAAAACAAAAAAGCAATATGTACCATAAAACTTTTTGACAAATTGGAAATGTATCTCGACATGTAATACACCTGTCTATGTTAGGTTTATGTACTCTTGTTTGTATATTTCTGTTTTTGTATTTGTTTTATTGTTCATAATAAAAAATACAAACGAGGTTTACACCCAGAGGAGCATCACTGCTCATTTTGCGGTCATTAAAGAGTGGCCAATCAGCTTAAATCCAATCGTTTTTCAGAAATATGGTGTGTATGGTATGTCCAATTTCAAAAAACGATTTGATTTAAGCTGATTAGCCACTCTTTAAGGGCCTCAACATGAGAAGCAACGCTCCTCTGGATGTGAACTCTGTGGATTTGGAAACTAGAAGTGCTCTGGAGTAGAATGGACACGCCATTTACTACTTATGGTTCAATATGAATGGCCAATATGAAAAACCTAATGAACATTGTGCAATATGAATGGGCTAATTAACAATGAGATTTCAAAGTGTTTTTTAAAGTTGATTATTATAATTATATTTTTGTTATTACTAATAGTAGCATTATGTTTTGTTATTTGTATTACTGTTGTTACCATGATAACGATCTATGAATCATTACTTTTAATGCTGTTAACAATGTCAACGATAGTCCTCATGTGCAATAAAGGTAATTAACTTTTTACCTTTTCCCATATTGTTGAACAAAATGTTAAGTCTGCTAAAAATTCCTCATAAAATGTTAAGTGCGACCATTTGTTTATTATTTTTTATACCATTTTCATTGCGGGACTTATATTTTGAAGGAAAATCGCCGAGGTCACGACCTTATTTTTCCTAGGTCTTGCTTATTCTTGCTGGCGGAACGGAGGTCCTTGTGATCATGAAATGACCTTTCAACTACTAAGGTGTATGGTTGGGACAATTAGTTCGCAATCCTGAAACCGGTGAGCGTTGTCTTGCTCGCACACACACACACACACAACCTTCTGAAACGTCAATGCCCCATATGATCTCGGAGTTTGAATAGATACATTTTGTTAATAAACTTGCATTATGGCAATAACTTCAGTCTATATCTGGTTGTTTTATAGGCTATTAATTATATAACAGAATTTCACTTGAGAGTAGTTCATGGCTATGCTTTATTCCAGTTAGTCAGTGTTTTTCTTTAAAACATACAAATATCATTTTATTTTAAATAACATAGGTCAAAAACGTTGCTATTGATAAACATAGATGTGATGCCTTTCAAACATAAAATTAAAAATATAACACATAGTACCTTAGATCACCAATATTATTAATCTGTATAACCAGCAAATAGATTATTTCTGTGACAAGAGGGGAACATTTACTGAAAACAATCTTCAAAGCATAACTTAAAACACCCATCGATGTACCATGAATGAATGCATTTACAAACATCAACATAAGTGATTTTCATAACACAAGGTCTCCACCAAGTCCTTATAAAGAAGCCCGCAAGCTCCCTTTTCAACCCTCCTAAACCATCCAGTGTGTGCATCTTTAAACCATTTGCCAAATTAACCAAAATGAATGCAAAGGACAATTCAATTGATTACATTCTTTCTTATTTTGAACAAATGTAACGGGTCCGCCATCACTAAAGCACAGAATACAGATGAAAAACACTTCTGCTTGTTAAAAATAAATCTAGAAGATATATCGCAGGAAAGCTGGTGAGTTAACAAAAGTACTCAAATGGACATTCAGTAAACAATAGCTAGGATTTGGTGTCTGCTTTCTCTTATGGTCCATTAGTCCACAGCTGAGGCACATAGACTTCACTTGATTCTGCTCTAAAAGCCAGACATATTACCCCAATAATAGGAAGTATCAGATGAGGCTGGGGACATGTTCACCAACCAGCATATACTGGCTCGGCATCACATGGGATCCCGTAGTATTGACCTTGCGGCCTCTCTTTGGTTAACAGAAATTGTCGTGCGAGGGAAAGCTCTCCATCTGTGTCTCGCATTCGACGCAACACCAGCAGGATGACAAAGAGTAGGGCCACTGGACCAGAGAAAAGGGAGAAAACATCATCAAGTTCACTTACTACTACTCCATTACTTCAGAATGTTTTATATTTCACTTTGTTTTTTCTACAGGATGTGGCCTCGAGATCAAATGACCTATAAGCATATTTAAATAATATATTTTGATATTTGTAGTGCAGAGAAAGTGCATAAAAGTAGTGTAATTGAAGAAATAAACAAGGTTCATGTCAGTGAACAACTTTTCTTGATTAAAGGGTCACTAAAACCAAGTAAATATGGGAACTTCATTATGACAGCTTGACAAGGGTTTTCAACATCTAACTGGTAGCCTAAAGTTCAAACCACTTTCCTCCCACTACACCAAAATGTTAACACGTGTCTTCAGACATACCCCCTCCTCCAATGACAAGTAGAGCAATGGTGATGGGGGCCAGCTCGCAGTCCTCCCCTGCCTTGCGGAAGAAGGTCTCCATGCAGTAACCTGGAGCAGTGCTGCCCTCAGGACAGAAGGCAACGCCAGGGCACAGGATGGGATTCACGTCTGGACTCTGTGGGACAGATGAAGTGAGCCCTGGTCATTAACGTTGGTCAGGAAATCCCTTGGGGATACTTTCAGTATTGGAGGTGTTTACAGGAAATAAGAGCTGTGGTACTGACTGGGCAGTAGTGGTTTTCGGGGCAGAGGTTACAGGTCTCCTGGCCCCAGTGGATCTGGAAGAAGCCGCTGCTGCAGATTTGACACATACTCTGACGGGGAGCCTTGTGCAGGCCTGTCCAAAACCAAACATCATCTCATCCTAATCAGATGTCATCCATTTAAAACTGTCTGAGTCTCTGCTATTACGGTGTACTACCTTAACCAATTAGATCATGCATGCCTTCATTTAATGTGTTTATAGATGTAATCAATGCAGTGCCAGATAACCCTTCTGTGAATAGAGCTACTTCATATACAGTCATAGTTGAATTATTTACTTTATATTAGATTGAATGGAACATTCTCAGCCACAATTTTAAAACATTCTCTTTATCTGTACTATTTCAACACCCTGAACGCATTAGAAATAGCACAGTTGATATTGTTGGCTGGCACTGGCAGTTACCGGGACGACAAGGTGTGCACTCCTTGGCAGCAGCCTGCAGGGACTCTGTACCAGCAGGACAGATCTGACACAGAGCACAACTGGAGGAGCTGTGGGAGGGACGGCCACAAGGGTGCAATGAATAGGGAATAACTTATTTATAAATACAGTTTTATACTGCTAGCTATCACCACCCCGTGTCTGATCACTTAACTATTACAATAATTATCTCTTCAATGCCCACTACTAACCCTATGAGTCTTTCAGTCTGTGTGTGTGTGTCTGTCTGTCTATGTGTGTAAGTGTATGTGCGTGTGTACGTGTGTGTGTGTGTGTAGGTGTTTGTGTGTTGTTTTGGGGAGTAAGATTAGTAGCATGAGATGGGAGCATGTGATGTTAGATCTGCAGACAAGCAACAGGTTGTGTGGATTATCAAGAGTTCATGCAGATCCCGCTGCAGTGCATACCACATTAGTTTAGCAACCACAGATCTAAGGTGACCATGAAGGGCAACTTACCTGCAGAATGTTCCCCGTTGACATGGACTGCACGATGTGGCATTTTGTTGTGACGTATAGAAACCTGAAAATAACACATTCCATTTAAAAACAGACACATGCAATTTAATATTTCTGAAGCCTTGGATTGCTTGAATGTGCAACAAATGACTGAAGCCCAGCACTTATACCGGGAGAACAGCTTCGGCAGGAGTCGGAGCCTGTGTTGTTGCTGTAGGAGCCTGGGGGGCAGGACTGACACACAGGGCTACCGGTGAAACTACAAGAGAAGAGGAAGAGCATAAATGCAACAGTGGTCTACAGAATGTTTGTGAATTGTATTTCTTTTTATTTCACATTTATTTAACCAGGTAAGCCAGTTGAGAACAAGTTCTCATTTACAACTGCGACCTGGCCAAGATAAAGCAAAACAGTGCGATAAAAACAACAACAACACAGAGTTACACATGGGATAAAACAAAACATACAGTCAATAACACAATAGAAAATCTATATACAGTGTGTGCAAATGTAGTAAGTTATGGAGGTAAGGCAATAAATAGGCCATAGTGCAAAATAATGACAATTTAGTATTAACACTGGAGTGATAGATGTGCAGAAGATGATGTGCAAATAGAGATACTGGGGGTGCAAATTAGCAAAATAAATAACAATATAAATAACAATATGGGGATGAGGTAGTTGGGTGGGCTAATTACAGATGGGCTGTGTACAGGTGCAGTGATCGGTAAGCTGCTACCCTCAGTTGACAGAGACTCAGGGCTATGCCCTCAGTTGACAGACTTACTTGGTGTAAAAACCCTGGCTGCAGGGCAGACATCGCTGTTGTCCAGCCAGACGCTGAAAGAACCCTCTGGAACATGGGAGGCAAGCCCCAGTGAACAGACACAACCCTGGCTCATGGCAGCAGGAACACAGCATGGAGTCTGGGGTAGGGATCAGAAGTCTATTATTGAACAGGCTGTGCTGTTTACAACATTTACCATCTTCATTTTACCGTTTAGCCAAATTATCTTTCACTTACTCCGGCAAATGTCAGTAGTCAAATAATACGGCAAAGCTACACCAACAATGCAACTCCTGTGTCCACTGTCCACTTAACATACCATAAGATCAAACATCCTTGGTGTTAAAAATAGATGTCACATGGGTAAAAACTACATTACAGTGCTGCATCAATTGGCTGTGGTGTGTTTCTACCTAATTTATAAGTTGTGCTGATAAATAGATCTGAGTCTAGTCAGCTACAACATCTCAATTATTTTCCTAACAAAAAGAGCACTTTTCGAAGCTGTGAGCTGACATTATGTTCTCTACTACAGCAAAACACAGAGTGACAATAAAAAGCTTTTGAGGAGGTTTATTTCATTCTCAGACTCCCTCTCTCTGCCAGGCCAGGCCAGGCCAAGTCTCGCAGGCCCGTAGTTCAGACTCACCGTTGTCGGAGTAGGACCCTGGGACACAGGCCTCACAGAGGGCAGAGCAGCCTGGGGATGTGGTGCTGAGGATCATATGGGTGGTCGCTGTCACTTTCTCACTGAATGTAGGGGTCTCACTGAATGTAGGGGTCTCACTGAATGTAAGGGTCTCACTGAATGTAGGGGTCTCACTGAATGTAAGGGTCTCACTGAATGTAGGGGTCTCACTGAATGTAGGGGTCTCACTGAATGTAGGGGTCTCACTGAATGTAGGGGTCTCACTGAATGTGGTTGTTTCCGTCACATTCTCAATGAATGTGGTGTTCATCACAGTAGGAGCGAGCTTCGGAGCCGTAGTCTGGCTCACCACCACACCTGTTATAACAAGACAGACTTTTAGAGCAATAGTTCTAGAAACAGGAAAACAATTTACATTCCCAGCCTCTCTCTAAGTAGCAATGTGGTAGATAGGCAAAGGCTACACTGGAAATAGATCACATGACATAGGAAGCTTGATTTTCAGAAACCATATAGGCTAATGGGTCAATACGCTGATTAGTATGGTTCAGAAGACCAAAAGGTCATCAGAGATTGGTATTTGATGCCTTAACCCATTGCAGACGTCATGTGACACCTAATCTTCCACTCACTACAATCAGATTATCTTTCAGTAAACATCCACAGATTTCAACCCTTACTGTGAGGAAATTCCATCAGTAATAGGACTTTGTGGCACATTCTCCAAAGATGAGAGCCTTGTTCCTAATCAAAGAATGGCAAAAAGTTCCAGCATGAAAGATTTTAGATGTCTAATTGCTCATTCCTTTGAGATCTTACAATGATGTTGCCATTCTGAATAACACCCACCTGATCTATTTCACAATGAGGTAGCCAACGTTTCAAAAAAAGTATTTCAAAGTAAGTCTTCTTTAGGATATGTAGCTCTTTGTGGGCTGTGTAATGTGCCATTATTACACACCTTTAACACAAGATATCATGGTGTCTGACCTACAGTGAGTTGGGGAAACCGAAGAGAGCAGCAGCACATAGATACCTTATTGTGGCAGTAATCACATTAGCCGTGAGCTGAGCTGCTTTACTGAGAGAAAGACACCCTCTTCAAGAAGTGCAATTATTCAAAAACAGGTCATGAGATTTCACCTGGTTTATACTCCAAAATGCTCAGAGTTGGCCAGGGCCCTCTGTGTATACTGTACAGTATATTCTATGAAGTTTAGATTGCCAGAGCATGGGAAACTGCTTGGGTAATTTAAGGTTTTGGTAATATGTGTTAACTGAACACTAGAATGATCTGCAGGGCTTAATGAATAGGCCCTAAAGGCTAAAAATGTAACCTCACAACAATAGTGGAATGTTGATTAACATAAACTTTTATAGCTGCATTTATGCAACATTGTTACAAAGCAGTGTGTAATGGTAATGTTGCATTCAGTCATTTAAGAACATTTTGAATCAGAGACAATAAACAAAGGTATACCACGGTTTGTAAAATAATTTTCAAATCAAATCAGAATAGTGCATGATAAACTGAATGGCGTGCCTGACAAAAAGTCAAGACAAAGTTTACAAACAGAAAAGGTATCTACACAGCGGCACTAGTGGGTGAATACCTCAAACAATCCCATGTAGAATTGCCTTCAGTCATAGCTAGCTAAAAAGCAGAGTCAGTGCTGCATGCCAGGGGTGTATTCATGTCGCCAATTCTGTTGCAAACGTTTCTTAAACGGAACGAAACGGGGAGGGACCTACCTGAATCTGTCCAATATCAACTCACGTTTCGCAACTGTTTGCACTAATGATTACACCCCAGTTGACTAGCCAAGACAACAAACCAACCTTACCTAGCAGACAAGCGGCAGCTATCGCAGTCAAAACTCCCCAACATTCCATACTCCAGATATTATCGTCAGTCACAATAATTTTTTATAGAATTTCATCCCTGACAGTTTGAGTTCTCTTTCTCTTAGCGATGTGAAGTCCACGGTGAGTTGCATGCCTCGGGTTGCTTGTCGCGCTCATCAATGTCATATGACAAAATACAGATCATGTGATTTTACTTAGATGTTTTGGCAGAGATCTCTATATAATGACGAGATGCTCATGTCTCCGCCCTAACAATGGGAGTCGTTGTCCCAAAGACGGGAAGGCAGGCGACACGTTTTGGTCCAAAATAAATCCATTGAAACGCATTGGGTTTATTTTGAACAGATTTTTCTAAATCTGTTGGAGAGTGAAACCTCTCGCTTCGCCTCTTCCTCTCTGGTTTCAGTAACGTCAATGCGCAGCTGCAGAACAAAACCATGCAGACCTTGACGTCTCCAGACAATCTGGTGTTACATTAATTAATTAAATCAATAAATTATCATATATAATTTATTTTCTAGGGGCCAAAGTTTATTACAGTGAAACTGTACTTCCTGAATTCGACTTGTCCCCACACCATTCTCTTTTCAATGTGTGTATCAATTTCTCATGGGTCACATAACAGTGTGATGTAGTCCATGCTCTTCAACCAGACATAACACACATTTAAATTAACAAAACCATTTAAAATAAACAGTTCTATGAAAACGTTGTACACCACCAACAATATACTTTCATAGTGTACAGTGAGGCAATCATACAGTGAAATGAAAACTTATGACACTAAAGAGGCCTTTCTACTGACTCTGAAAACCCCCAAAAGAAAGATGCCCAGGGTCCCTGCTCATCTGCGTGAACGTGCCTTAGGCATGCTGCAAGGAGGCATGAGGACTGCAGATGTGGCCAGGGCAATAAATTGCAATGTCCGTACTGTGAGACGCCTAAGACAGCGCTACAGGGAGACAGGACGGACAGCTGATTGTCCTCGCAGTGGCAGACCACGTGTAACAACAGTATCAGTACATCCGAACATCACACCTGCGGGACAGGTACAGGATGGCAACAACTGCCCGAGTTACACCAGGAATGCACAATCCCTCCATCAGTGCTCAGACTGTCCGCAATAGGCTGAGAGAGGCTGGACTGAGGGCTTGTAGGCCTGTTGTAAGGCAGGTCCTCACCAGACATCACCGGCAACAACGTCACCTATGGGCACAAACCCACCGTCGCTGGACCAGACAGGACTGGCAAAATGTGCTCTTCACTGACGAGTTGCGGTTTTGTCTCACCAGGGGTGATGGTTGGATTTGCGTTTATCGTCGAAGGAATGAGCGTTACACCGAGGCCTGTACTCTGGAGCGGGATCGATTTGGAGGTGGAGGGTCCGTCATGGTCTGGGGCGGTGTGTCACAGCATCATCAGACTGAGCTTGTTGTCATTGCAGGCAATCTCAACGCTGTGCTTTACAGGGAAGACATCCTCCTCCCTCATGTGGTACCCTTCCTGCAGGCTCATCCTGACATGACCCTCCAGCATGACAATGCCACCAGCCATACTGCTCGTTCTGTAAGTGATTTCCTGCAAGACAGGAATGTCAGTATTCTGCCATGGCCAGCGAAGAGCCCGGATCTCAATCCCATTGAGCACGTCTGGGACCTGTTGGATCGGAGGGTGAGGGCTAGGGCCATTCCCCCCAGAAATGTCCAGGAACTTGCAGGTGCCTTGGTGGAAGAGTGGGGTAACATCTCACAGCAAGAACTGGCAAATCTGGTGCAATCCATGAGGAGGAGATGCACTGCAGTACTTAATGCAGCTGGTGGCCACACCAGATACTGACTGTTACTTTTGATTTTGACCCCCCCTTTGTTCAGGGACACATTATTCAATTTCTGTTAGTCACATGTCTGTGGAACTTGTTCAGTTTAAGTCTCAGTTGTTGAATCTTGTTATGTTCATACAAATATTTACACATGTTAAGTTTGCTGAAAATAAACGCAGTTGACAGTGAGAGGACGTTTCTTTTTTTGCTGAGTTTATATGGACGACCTGAGAGACTGAGCCAAGCCCGCATTACAGTCTCAAAAATCTACCACATTAACCTTCTCAAAAAGTGGCACGCCCGAGAGGTGTTGCTGTCTCCCCTGTCCCCACAGAAACAGCTCGAGAGGAGGTTGCCATCAACACCCAGCTTACAAAACTACAGCGACGAGATGGAGGAACTAGTGAACCAGAGCAGAGACGTCTTCTCTCCCCTCCCAGGGCGCACAACCTTGACGCACCACCACATCCACACAAAACCCAGAAAGAAGGTAACATTAAGGCCGTATAGGATCCCAGAGGCCAGACGGGTGGCCATCAAAAAGGAGGAGGACCAGATGCTAAAGATAGGAATTATCGAGCCGTCCCAGAGTGAATGGTGCAGCCCGATCGTCTAGTGCCAAAGCCGGACGGGTCGGTAAGGTTTTGCAATGACTTCTGAAAACGAAATGAGATATCGAAATTTGACGCTTATCCTATGCCACACATAGATGAGCTGATTGACCGCCTGGGCAACGCCAGTATATCAACACCCTGGATCTTACTAACGGGTACTGGCAGGTTCCTTTGGCTCCAGAGGCGAGGGAGAAGACGGCCTTTGCCACGCCTACAGGGCTGTACCATTACACTGTTCTACCCTTTGGCCTGCATGGAGCTCCGCCTACTTTTCAGAGGCTAACGGATAGGGTCCTGAGACCCCACAGTGAGTACTCAGCAGCATATTTGGATGACATGATTGTGTATAGCCCTAACTGGGAATCTCACCTGAAGCAGCTCAACGCTGTCTGGGAGGCTCTTCACCGAGCAGGTCTAACCGCCAATGCAAAAAAATGCAGACTGGGACTTGAGGAGCAACGTCAAACTGCAAGAGAAGGAAGTTCAAGCCATCCGACAGTGGCCACGGCCCCAAACCAAGTCTCAAGTAAATACCTTTGATGGGCTAACCAGCTATTACTGTAGGTTCATTCCGAACTATGCAACTGTAGCTTGTCCTCTCACAGACCTGACCAAAAAGACCCAGCCCAACGGGGTCAGGTGGACTGACAAAGCGGAAGAAGCCTTGCAGAACCTGAAGGAGGCCCTGTGCTCCGGACCGGTCTTGGTGATGCCGGACTTTGGGAGAGAGATGGTGGTCCAGACTGATGCCTCCGACACAGGAGTGGGAGCGGTCTTGTCCCAAGAAGTACGAGGGGAGGAGCATCCCAGCCTATACATCAGCCGGAAGCTGTTGCCCCGAGAAACCAAATACTAAACAGTGGAGAAAGAGTGCCTAACCATGCAGTGGGCATTGAAGAAGTTAAAGTACTACCTCCTGGGACGACACTTCACTCTGGTCACGGACCATGCTCCTCTAGTCTGGATGTCCAGGAACAAGGAGACCAACTATAGTGACCAGGTGGTTTCTCTCACTCCAACAGTATCATTTCTCTGTTGTCCACAGGTTCGTGTCGAAACACGGGAATGCAGACGCCTTGTCCCGCTGGAACGC